ATATTACAGGGATCTTTCCAAGATTATTTCAAAACACCATATATGGCTGACTTACAAAATCTGAAACATTTCTAATCAGCTAAAGTTACTTTCACTAATTAGGTAATTTAATTATTCAGCTGACATATTTTAGAGAAAAATGCCAATATCCTTTTATTTAGTCTGCAATTTTTTTAAAAAAAGATTGTTCATTTTGGCTTTTTCTTTCTTCTGTGAGTAGAATTAGACATGACAGCTTTGTTTTTCAACTACATAGATTAACAGATTATTAAGCATAGTTTTATTCTTCAATAGTAAAAGATGCTTTCACAGACATAAAAATGTGGTGGCTAGAGGCTACACAGAAATTACTTTCTGACAACTTTAGACACACTTTCATGGCAGCAATTTTTTTAACAAAATAGTTTATAATATTCCTAGGGACATGGTAGATTAACTGTGATTGCTTTGTTTTAAGCTATATGGTTTTATATAAATAGAGCTTTGGATAGGGATAACACTGTAATGAAGTCTGATTGAACACAGATGTCAGAGTAAATGAGCATAACAGTCCTTTCTGGCCCAATAAAGCATGAAATTATCCCACCAGTTCTGTTTTTGTCTCTAACACAGTAGATTTTGCAGCCCCCATCCTTTCCAAAGAAGGATGCCAAAAGACAAGAAGCCTCTTCATCTTCCCTCCTGGCTATGATGCCTTGAGACATCTCCAAAGGCCTTACCCTGGCAAGGGAAGGGCCAGAGCTGGGTCTGCACTTTGCCATTTCACAGGTGTATCAGCTGAGCATTTAGCAGAGATTGTCCCAGCATGGGTGGTGGCATCAGTACTGGCTGCAGCAGCCAAGGAACCTCGAGGCTGTCCTGAGCCACCCCTGGGCATCTCCTCTGCCACGGTGACTCTGAGAGCACCAAAGAGCAAGGACACCCCAGAAAAACTGACCTGGCAGACACTGCTCAGGCGGGCTCAGGAAATAACCTATCAAGTAACAATGAAAATCAAATGTATTTCCTGACGCAGATTTTTCTCACTCAAGCAACTCAGTGACCTTTCTTTCTAGTATCTTTGTCCATTTGCATCCATTCTCATAGGGAATATGTTTTCAGTTATTTACACTAAGAAGATTTAATTGGAAGATTACACTTATGTACACAATCTGCAAACTATCACAGCTTTCAATCAATTTATAACAAAAAAACAATTTGTTGAAACTCTTATCTTATGTTGGCAAAGAAAATTCAATTTGTGCCCTAAATCCCACTGAAATCCACTGAAAGTTAGGTCCTTTGACTTCCTTAGTCTCCTTGGGAAATTTTAACCTCAGTTATTAAATTATTCTGACAGAGAGAGAGGAGAGATTGACAGGAAGATCCTCAAGGAATGATACTGGAGTTGCTTGGAATAAGCATGATTTCAAGTGTTACCAGTGGTCTCTGCTGCTGTCAGAGCTTTTCCAAGTCCAATGAAAATTGATCTGGCATCTTCTCACTCTTTGGGAGTTTTCTGCAACATGTGACAGAAGAGACATGTCTTCACACACTGTTGGATCCTTAACTACAGCTCAGATTCATACTGATGAATTTGCCAACATAACAAGTGGGAGTCCACAGCCCATAGACAAAGAATAAAAACGTCCATCAGTAAAACCTGAAACACCTAGTACTCTTCCAAATAGCAAATATAAAGAATGTACTACATTTCTAAACTGCATGTTATACCTAACTGCAATTGTTATCCACTGCAGTGATCATTTTAAGAAATTGTCACGTGATTAATTTATGCCAGTGCAGATAGAGTTTCAACAGAGCACTCGCAAATATTTATTAAACATATTCATTTGAAAGTCAGTGCAAGCCTTCATTTGTCTCTTGTAAAATGTCTGGTTGTCATTGTAGAAGAGACACAATGTAAAAGTTAAAAGAATCAAATGCAACACTAGCAAGAAGGCTCTTAAATTTACAATCAGTTTAAATCACACTTGCTTCTAACAAACTCTGTAAATAAAACCACAATCTACAATAAAAAATTGCCTCCAGAACAAACATCTATCACATTGCCTTGAAGTAAAACTGTTGTATCTACTATTTATATATGCTAACAAAACATACTTGGATCCATATGATCCATATCCATACACAGATAATTGTATCTGACACATGTCTATCTCTAATGCACATTGCAAGTCTCTAATAAATTTTTTAAAAATCCCAAGATTATACATCTACTTCTGCCATCAGTGTTGACACTATATTCATACCACAAATGGCTCAGACAAAACAAAACAAGTTTAAAAAAGGGTCTTTGCAGAACTTTTGACAAACACAGACCTTCATCACTTGTAGCCTCTTACGCAGGTGAAATTCTTCAGCTGCTTTTATTAAATATATCATGTTAACACTCATACACAGAATACAGGGCTCAAAACACTGAAAACATGGCACAGTAAATTCAGCTTTGAGATTTCTCAGATAATTTCCTTTTTCACCAAGCAGTTCACCTGCTGCATACTTAAGGTCACCCCATTTTATACCTGAGTAACGTGTCCTTGCCTAGAGGCCAATTCTAACCCCCAAAACTGTACAAACCCTTCTCAAACACATTATGGCTGCTCCATTTGTGCTCCCAAACACCATAGCTACTTTGCTCATCACTTTGTAAGAGCTTTGTGGAGATTTTCTGAGCCAGAGACACACTTAGAGAACCAAGGCTCTTGCTGGTTCAAGCGCATTTAAATCACCATCTGCTAACTCATAAAATAAACCACTCAGGCAAATGTTTCTTCCAGAACACACAAATGATGGTAACACAGCATTATGCTTTTCAAACACTAAAACTGTTGGGAAAAGATAAGCAGCTGAAAGATCAAAACAGTGCAGTGACAACACCAGCAGAATCAGACACTTGTTCCCAGCTAACACAGCTGACTAATCAAACTGAAATGCTACTTCTCAGTTTTACACCTGTGAAACTGTGTAGGTAACTCTTAACAGCATGCATCTCCTTTTCCAGTGGAGGAACAATTCAGAAGTACCACCCCAGGCTTTTCTCTTCAGGATATTTAGCACACGGCTGATGGACATTGCCTTCCCTAGCCATGTTTTGTGAATGCGTCCATTCATTTCTGTTGTACCTTTACAAATGTCCATAGAGAAAATGACACAGTAATTTCATTTGTTTCCATAAAATCACAGAAAATATGTAATGTTTCAATTATAGAACTGACTCAGAAGATGCAATAAAAAACTATTTGCA